CACCCCACCCCGCCAACAGCCCGCCCCGGGCGCCGGTGACTCCGCCTCTCCGTGCCGGGAGGCTCTCCGGCTGGAGCTGGAAAGGGAGCGCTTCCCCGGACTCGGCTCGGTTCTGAAGCTCTGAAGCCGACGCCGCTAGCTCAGGCCCGGGGGCGGGAGCTGGACTGCCCGCGCAGCCTGCGCCTGGGAGCCGCCGAGCCGGGAACGCCTCATGGGACGCCCCCGGGGGCTCTCTTCACGTCCTGCTGCCGCGTCCCAGTCCTAGGCACCCGGGCTTCACAGCCCGCCCTGTCCGCAGCCCGCGGCCTGCCTGGAGAGGAGTATGAGGCCCGGGGCCCCGCGGACGCCGGCCACAGGGCGGCAGGGGCCTAGCTTCAGACCCCTGTGCCCGAGGGCGGCGGGTGAGGAGCCGCGGGAGCCAGCGAGGCGTCGGGGCGCGGAGAGGAGCGCCCCAGCCCGGGCGCCCGAAGGGCCGCGGGACCCGTGTGCGGCCTGAGCGCCGACGAGGAGGCGGAGGCGCCCCGCCGTCCGGGCTCTGGAGGAGACGGCGAGGGGCTCCGCTGCGGCCCCTGACCCCTGGCCACCATCCTCACGCTTCTGCTCCCGCGGGGGGGATGTCGCGGCCCGGGCTCCGAGCGCCGCCCCGGCCCCTGGGCTGAGCTCCGGACCATGTCCTCCCGCAGCCCCCGGCCCCCGCCCCGCCGCTGCCGCCGCCGCCTGCCGCGCCCCTCCTGCTGCTGCTGCTGCTGCCGCCGTTCGCACCTCAACGAGGACACGGGTCGCTTCGTGCTGCTGGCGGCGCTCATCGGCCTCTACCTGGTGGCGGGCGCCACAGTCTTCTCGGCGCTCGAGAGCCCGGGCGAGGCGGAGGCGCGGGCGCGCTGGGGCGCCACGCTGCGCAACTTCAGCGCGGCGCACGGCGTGGCCGAGCCGGAGCTGCGCGCCTTCCTCCGGCACTACGAGGCCGCGCTGGCCGCTGGTGTCCGAGCCGACGCGCTGCGCCCGCGCTGGGACTTCCCTGGCGCCTTCTACTTCGTGGGCACCGTGGTATCGACCATAGGTGAGCGGCCCGCCCTGCGCGCGTCTTTCCTCTCTGCGCCTTCCACCTGCCGCCCTTTCCACCGCCGGGCGGCTCGGTCCGCGTCCGTCGGCTTCCCCCTTTCCGTCTAATGCCCCATTGCCTACTTTCGTCCCGCTCTCTCCTCTCCTCCCATCCCCCTCCTCCTGCCCCTTTTCTCTCTTAACTGGCTGTCGTCGTGGGAGGTGACCTGAGAGGCCCATCTCTGGCGCTCCACTGGTGACTCGCCTGGCAGTGAGGCCGAATGGGGAGAAGCCTAACCAGGCGCTGGGCAGCCCCGGGGCCGCCCGCTCTCCAGTACTTACCAGCTCCAGGAGCTAACCTCTGTGCGCCTCAGTCACCTCCTCTATAAAAGGACGTCTGAGAATATGTGTCAAGGGCATTTGGCTTCCTTCCTGTTCCCTACGCTCCCTGGGCCTCAGTTTCCTCACCCAGATAATTTGGAAAGCCCTTTACCCCTCCACTCACAGCGTTTTTCTCTAGATCTTCTCTCTCCTTTCTTCTTTTACCACGCGCTCCCCCTCAGCGTCCTCTAGCCCTGTTACCTGGGGAGGGCGACCACTTTCCCCAGAATCTCTTTCCTAGATCTCCTTCCCACCCTCTTCTTTCACAGTCTACACCATCTCCTCCCCAAAGAAAAGCCCGTTAGACTTGGCGGTCAGGACTTCAGGCGCTCTTGTTCTGGGCCCCCCTTGGTTTTCTTCCCCTTCTCCCCCACCTCCCCTCCCAACTTCCCCTCCAATTTCTTTACCTTTCTTCTTTGTTACTGTGCCATCTTTTCCAACCAATAGTGGCACCAAGGGGTAGTTGGGAGAGAGGGGGAAGTTTCTCTATACTTTCCATCATCTCTTCTCCCTATTTTTGGTATAAAATGTTCATGGTTTTGCTCCCTTACCAAAAATGCTGTGTAAATAATCCTTAAAGCCCCCCACTTCTCCCACTTTCACCCCTCTTCTGAGCCTCTCCTGTAGAGATTCTGCAGCCACCACTGCTGCCCACTCCACCCCTTCCCTCTCTTTCTTCTCCTCTCACCCACTTTCCCCATCTCACCCTTTCCCTGGGCTCTGGGTGTCATGTGAAAGCAACCTCCTCCCCAGTTACTGTACAGAGTACAGAATAAATACAAGATTTTCACTTTGGCAAGACTTTGTGTGTGTCCCATCCACTCCTGCTTCAAGACCCAGGGTGGGAGAAGGCACTTGGCCAGTCTTACCTCTAGTCACCCCAAGGCACTGTGCCTTGATGGTTGTTTTGGAGGAGGGGGTTGGATTCACTGGGTGGAGAAGTGAGGGATTTCACACCTTCCGTGAGTGGGTTCTGGACTGGTTTGGTATGCCAGCTTAGAGACAGGGGCATGGACTAACTGATCAGTGTAAGCCATTGCAGATGGCTGCTGGGAGGCAGAGAGAAAGACTGCATCCCTGTGCAGGATGTGAACAGCTAGAGATGTCTCTCTGAGTGTATATGTATAGTCTACAAAAGGGCTTCCTTGCCTTCAGTGATTTTTCATGTGTCATGCTTGATCTGATTATTTTAAATAGAAAAGGCAAATATGGCCCAAGTCCAAAGTACACACAAATTGGATAAAAATACCCTTTAAAAGCTATATCATGTTGTTATGGTGATTGAAGATATAAAATGACCCCCTCAAAAAAATCCCCTTTTAAGAGCTGCATCAAGTTACTATAGCAACTTGAATTTTTTTAAGTGCTTTAAAAGTACTAAGGATGCTTAGTCCTGGAGGATGATATCATGCATTCATTGCTCATTATTGATTTGTCCTCTTCCTCTTCTAAACACACCTTTTTGCCCTCTTCCACCTAGAGGCACACCTGTGCACATATTGGGTGGCCACAGCATCTCTCTTCTGGTGACATGCTCTGGCTTTAGCTTCCTCATGGAACCCACAGGCTGAAAGGGAAGGTGTTAACAGTGTCCTCTCCTCCTACAGGCCAAGAGTCCATCCAGATGGGGCCCCATTCCAGTGACCTATGTTCTCTGTGCCTCTCTGATGAGCTCCCATCAGTTTCTTCATGCACTGCCCACCCTTGGCTTCTTAAGCTTCTCTCAGGCTCTTTGCACAAAATCAAGTCAGTGTGTTGGCAAATTGTTCCAAGCCCCAGCCTTTAATCTACTGGCAGGATTGGTTGTTCTTTAGTCAAGCGGAAAAGAACTATGTTCTTTTTCTTGATTTGTGTTTTCAGATGTTAGGCAAGCGGTGTAGGAGGGCTACACCGAAGCGTGTGGCCGTGTTACAAAGGACCCAGCACATTGTTTCCAAAATCTGCTGCAGGGAGACCTTCATCTCTGAGGGAAGCTGCACTCAGGGACCAGAACTAGCCTATGGACAGCTCAGCATTGAACTAGCCCTTTGCAGGGGTTCCAGGATGGCCACATGAGTACTGGCGTCTCTGTCAGTTATCCACCTGTTGTCGTGGTCTGGGGCAGTGATTCAAATTGGTCACTTCTGTCAATCAGATAAGTTCTGCCGAATCCTCAAGTAGCATGATTGTCATTTCAGCCTTCTCTTTCAAAATGTACTTGGATGAGATTTAAGTAAAGACATATGTATGTCAGCTTCTCTTCTGCTTACATAGTTCCTTTCCCTCAAATGCCCTGAGTCTTCAGACTATTATTATTATTATTGGTGTTTTTATGGATTCAGCAGCTCTGGAAGCCAAAGCTCAGTCCAAAGTGGGCTGTCACGATTCTCTGTCTGCCACTTCACTTGGTGCAGAGGAAAATTAGCATGCACTCAGGTTTTTTTTGATCAGTGAATATCACAGTATGTATGGTCCATGCAGCAGTGTAGACATTTCTTTTTTGTGTTGTGTAGACCAAGCTAAATGATTCATCTAGACTTTAGTATAGAAAACTCTTCCTCCGTTCATTCCATAAATATGATGTGTTGTGTATGTCAGGCCCAGCACTATATTTTGAAAGGTTAAACCATATTCCAGCATGGGCAGTTGGATTGCAGCGTTTAGGGGCACCATATCTTGGCTGTCCTCACTAAAGATGATTCGAATAAGAAGGGGACCTTTGGTCCAATTCCATGTGGCACAGAGTATTAAGGGACTTGTCTTAGGTTACAGTTAATGATGTGTTCAGCCAGTTCCAGAATCCAAGTTATGCAGTGTTTGTTCTACTAATTTTATGCATAGAATGTGTCCACCACATTCTTGTTTGAGATTGACATATTTAATAATGGGTGTGTGTCTGTCTGTATGAGTGTGTGTGTGTTGTGTCTGACACCAGGGCAGGGCTGGGCAGGAGGATTGGTCTGTTGGTCAGGCCAAGAACTGATTAAGTCCAGAGAAAGCTTGAAGGACCAGACATATCTTAAAGGTCAGACAGACTAGAAGTGTCTGGCAGGTCTTGGACAGCTGGGAAGGCAAGAGCTGGCACCAAGAAGGTCAGAGACAGGAACACTAACAAGTAGGAGACTTCTGGTAAACTCTGGTCCAGGGACAGAAGCCACTTTCTCTCTACTTTCTTTTGCACCAGTGTATGTGTGTTTTGTGTGTGCATGTGTGCAGGAGAGGGGAGGAAAGGGTAGGAATGGGCCTTCAGCTAGAGGGAGACATAGAAGAAAAATTCAAGTGTGGCTGTGTGTGCTCAGGGTTAGATGGAATACCGTGATGAGATGGAATGTTTGTCCTGACATTTGGCTTGAACAGGGCCCCGTATCCAGAACTAGGCACTTTGCAATTGCATAGACATATGTGAGTCCACATGACAAAGACCCAGCAGAAAAATTTGCCAGTGATGGTTCAGCAGTAGTTGAGGCCATATAGCAAGTCAATCTGAATGGCTCAGGCAAAATAAAAATCCACTTTGTGGTGTAAATTATTCATATTGATTGCTTACACTGAACTGAAATCCTGGGTAATTATTATTTCTCTCATTTATGCTCTGTGACATAGTCCCAAGGGGTTGAAATCAAGTTTGCTTTAATGTGAATGCATCCATTTATTCATTCCTCCATTTAACAAAATCTGACACAAGCGTAACTCATTATAGATGCGTGTGTGGCCTTTGGCGTGTCATTAGCTGCATCTCCTGGGTTACATGAACTCCTAAAGACAAAGACAGTGGCTCTTTTCGTATTAATACTATTCTTGGAGGCAGTGCTCTAGCTCAAAGAAATCAAACAATCCAAAGGGTATTAATCCATCATTTCACATCCTGAAGGATGTTTTATTGGTTTTCTTTGAAAAGATTAAAAGGAAAATCTCCACTGGGGTTTTAATTATGCAACTACTGTCAGATTTACACATAGGGAAGAACATATTTAAAAGTCTTTCTCAAATGGCAGCTTGATATAAACAGAAATATTTTTGCTTCCTTTTATTAGGTTTTCTGGCAGCGTATTTTAGCTATAAAGCTAGAACCATGCCGCTATAGACGGGATGGTGTAGGTATGAGAGTTGTCACTTTTGGCACTGCATAATTTAGCCTGCTACTTTCAGAATTAGGCACACTTAATTATTCCACCGCAAGATTAGTAACAAGTCCTAACTTTTTTCCTCTTTTTTAACATGGATTTTTTTAAATGTTTTTGCTTCAAAAGAAACTAAGACATTATAAGACTGAAATATCACTACCACATTGACATTCAGTTTTCTTCTAACGTGTATGTAATCCGGCTGAAGGTGGTTCTGATACCAGGAGAGAAATACGTTGCCCAGAAGGAGAGGAGCACCTTTCCTCGCTTGTTGCCCTCATCAACTATTTTTTATTGAAAGATGATCCTAGGACAACTTTGAAGGACGTTTAGGAAAAACATACAGCATTAGATTTGAAGCTCTGGATGGAGAGCAGGAAATGCATTCCCACTCGCTGCTCCAGCCTCGGCACCCAGCACAGGACCCAGCACATAGTAACCACTCAATAATTATCTATTCAATGAATGCAACAAGTCGCCTGTAATACGACTGCCCTAATACAATTCTTCATTTTTGCAAGTTGCCCTGCAGTTC